TCGATTTCTATTGCTAGCTAACCGTAATTCTGAAGTAATCACTATTGATCACTGTTATGCTTCCTTGAAGTTTTTTTTTTTTCGAGACTAATTTATGTCTTGGCGAGACTATGCATATGTTTTGTTAGAGTGTACCGTTAATTAACCTCACGAAAAGACATTCTTCAATTGGCCATGCTCAGTTTTTCCCTTCTGACCTCAAATAACTCACTGCCCTTTCATCTGCCCACTTCTTTCCACACAGAAAGACTAATCCACATGGATCTCCCGGGAGAGATAGGAAGGTACATCAGTGTACCGCACAACTGTTACCTAAGAAATACTAGTGTTGTAGCCCGGTATTTCGCGGTTACATGATAGTGCGTTCGGTAACTTAGAAGTAGTACACAGTAATGTGAGTTATTGTAGAATTGTGCGTGGAAATTGTTGAGTTTATGTTTGTATGTATAGCATATATGAAATATTATTCTGTACGCACACGTAAGCCTCATGATCTAACGGCTCAAAATAGTTATATATATGTTTTACGTCATATTACACGGCATAGTTATCTTTGATTATTTATTTGTTTATTTAATTTTTAATTTTTCATTGGCTGATGTCTTTTTGAATTACATTGTATTCCGCTTGCTTGTTTCTTTTTCATTCATTAAACTTTAATTCAACACTGACGTTTTGTTGCCCTGTGTAAAGTTGTCATGAAAAACATGGGTCTTATAGGTTAAGTTGTATCTCGAAGTATTATCAATCACAAATATGATATCAACAAAAATACAACAGCATTAACACGCGTTCAACAGGTTTTCAACAATTATTCATCGGTTTTTCAAGTTTCAGATAGATGTTACCAGACGATGATATGTTAATGAGAAAAGTCGAACAGAAAGCGAAACATGAAAGTTTTCCTTCTGCAAGTAACAATTTGTTGCTATCATTGGATTTGATGTCACCAATCGGAAGCATAAGACAAAGAGAACCAGGACCTGTCACTTCAACTCCTCGCATAAGTACCACTCTCCGACCGAATCATATATATCGATC